TGGAAGCTCTCTGGAGCCTGGGAATGTGCATTTTTAATAGGCACTCCAGGCAAATTCTGACCATCAGACAGATTTGGGAACCACTGATCTAGAATTCTCTGCTACCATATTTGAACCCTTTAATTTTTAAAGAAAAGCGTAGAACTCAAGCTGCTAAATGATGCAACTGGATGAGTGCACCAGAATTAAGAAAACTGCTAACTGCTGTACGTTCGATCTGTAAGTGGGGGGTTTAATAACTTCCTGGTGCCTTAACTCAACAGACACGTTCCAGGCACCCCTGGAACGTGTTTTATCTGGTAAACACGATAAAACAGATAAAACAACGAGGAAGACTTCGTGCCTGATGAGGTGGTCATCGGGACGGTTCTCCAGGCCAGGGGACTAACTGGCAAAGGCCAAGGGGCATGAAAGTCTACCATGGTCACGGAAAGGCCCGCAGGAGCGGAGGGAGGGGCAGACGTGACCTGGGTAAAGGGCGCATTGGGAAGGGATTTATACACCGCCTCTAGGAGTCAGACTTTATCCTGTGGTTAGCGAGGTTTCTTAATCTTGGGTACAGGCAGAGGTCTTAAATGACCTGGACCCCACTTTCTCCCCATCCCTGTCTGCAATTTTATGTACAATTTAGGTGTTTCTAGTATGTGTGCTTCTTTGGGTAAAAGGTCTACAACTTCCAGAAAATTCTCAAGTGTCCTGTGACCCAACTCCTGCCAAGCATCACTGCCGGCGACGAGACAGAACCACCGCGGGCCGAGAGCAGAAGCGGAGACGGGTGACACGTACTCTGTGGCTCATGGCAGCCAGGGCGCGTGGCCAGGATCTGCACACCTCACCCACACAGCTGCTGTGGCTGCGCTACCTCGACGACAGGTTGCGCTGCGCGCCCTCACATGGCCTTCAGACCCGAGGGAGCCGGGATTCTCGAAACCATCACATCCACTGGCGCTCCCGCCCTCACCCACCGCGGGGTGCGCGCTTGTAAAGCCCCGATACCTGTGATTCCGGAAGCTTTAGTCATCTTTCTTCTCTGACTGCTGCTTCTTTTCAGCCTCCAGTTTTTGCTGCTTTGCTTCCAATCTCTTCCTTTGGTATATTTTGACTCCGGCAAACGCCAGGCAGAGAATTAATGTTTTGGCTGCCAAGATATACAGCAGCACAGGTACGTGCTCAAGAACCTGAAAGAAGAAGGAGACCATTCTAAGTGCTCCAGAACTGGTAAGGGACGCTCTTCTACGTGCCTTCATTTGACAAACATTCACTGTGCACCCGGCTTCCCAGACAGGACCACCAGAGGACGGCGGACAGAATAACTCTGCTCTCTCATAACCTGACTGGGCACTTTGCCGATCACCCAGGCCCTCTGCGTCTGAGGCAATGACACGGTCCAGGGCAAGGAGCCGGAGCCAGGAGCCTGGTTACAGCCCCCGCTCTGCCACTGACAGGCCGTGCGACCTGGGTCAGTCCCCTGACTTTCCTGAGCTTCTGTCTCTTCATCCACAAAGGGAGGCCAGTCCAAACCTTCCTTTTGAATTCTCCACTTAGATCGGTGGCTATGATTTTTCTCTTGGCTCCAGCTACTCATTAGCACTGGTATTTGAAGGTAAAATAAATATAAAAATAAAATACAATAAAAGTTAAAACATTAAACTTGGCTACTTATTCACTGGTCCTATAGTTAATTTCCTGTTGGAAGTTTTAACCCATTGGCTAACGTGATGTCTGGGGAATAACCAGGGGTTAGAATTACTCACTCTCTGCACTAGCAGGCATTATTATGAAGTCCTATATGTCACAATCAAATCTAAAGGCAAATGCTAAACACGGGGTCCCCTCCACCTGGGACGAGAGACAGAGTGATGCGTGCAGCTTGCTCCCGTGCATTCAGGATGAAATGCAGCCGGGGCTGAGGCCTTGTGGTTGAGCACAACCAGCTTAGAACACTGATTTGGTGTCCAGGTCGTTCCTCCCTCAGACCTACAGCAAATCTCCCCAACCTCCCCCAAATAATCCTCTAATTCATCTACTTTCTTGGAAGTTCACATTTTAGAGATAAGGCTTGGCTCTATGTTTATAAGCCAGATAAGAAAGGAAAGAACGTTAAATTTTACCTCCTTGGAAGCAAAAATCACCAGTTTGGAGATACAAACTTCCTTTCACGCTCACCGGGACTTCCCAGGCTGAAGCGCTGACTTACCCTGGCAGAGGTTAAGCTTCCAATTATCTCAGTCTCTATGGATGAGCCTCTGGAGTCCTATCATAACAGGGCCCCCATCACAGCCCACAGCTCCCATGATCTAAAACCCAAAACTTAGCTGTAGAAGGTATAGGAATGTACCTCGCAACCAGAAGTTAGAAAACCCACTGAAATCAAAGCCCATCAACAAATGGACCCAAGTAAGTGGTCTGGGTATCTACTTTCATTTTAAAGGTAGCAGAGAGGAGGCAGCAAGACGCAGAAGTTTCCGGACTGGGAGAGGGGTGGAGCAGTGGCAGTGGAGGTCAAGGACACCACAAGGGCTAAAGCCGAAGGTTTCAGGGCCCCTGTTCCTGCATCTCTCTTGGACAGATTTGCTAACTCCTCAGTTGTGTTAAATTTCTTCCTTTGATTTCTTTCTAACAAGCCCTTCATGTTAAGTCCCCAAACATGCAAATCTTCAAGGAGGTAAATGAATGAAATAATGTTGGGGTAGACTAGATCTATACCAATTAAAAATACAATACCTGTGTAATGAGAATGACTGACTTTTAAAATAGTCTTGCTCCTGCACAGGCAGTGTTGCCTGTCGCTGATGGCCACCAGCCGGCAGAGCCAGAAAGGCAAGCCCAGGATGCACTGGGGGCTCCGTAGTCCTTCCTCCTCCTGGGACTCACCGAGTCAGGGTGTGGGGAGGGGCCATTCCTTTCTCATACTACATGGAAGGACCCAACCCTTCCCCCACCTTCCTAAACACCAGGTTGCTCCCTGGTAGCCCTGAAGCTGTGCCTGCCCAAAGTAGGAGCGGTTCGGGCAGATTTTGTTTCTGACACAGGAAAGGACTCTTTTGTGACAAGCAGAGTTGGCCCGGGTGGTCAAGGGGGGTTGATATCACTCTGTAATTAAAATGAAACCTTGCTCTGTGCAGTGCCTTGCCGGTATACACCCGCATCGCCTGGGAACTCCTTAACCCCGGGCCTCTGCAGCCAGAAACTCTGGGGGTGGAACTGCAGTCCTTATTTTACCTGGTCCTCAAGGGGGCTTTGATGCACCCTGCAGTGAGAGAACGCCAGCCTCGTAGCCCCAAGCCCCACGCTCTGACCCCTGCTGCTGGGGCCCCCAGAACCAGGTACTGCCTGTCATCCCTACTGACTTCAAGCTCTGCAGAGGCTAAAAATCCTTCCCTAAATCTGCCCCTACACTGCTCTCTGCTCCCCCAACCTCACTTACATCCTCTCACTGCCCTGTCTTTCCCTTCCAACCTTTCTCCAGGCAGCTCTGGAGCCCGAGTACATCCATAACAGACTCTCCCACATCTTCACCCCTTCACAGAATCCTCACTCTTCCTCCTGGACCTCAGCCACGCTCTTCCTGGACAACAGTCCCCAGAGCCCTCCTGCAGGGCCCCCAGGCCCCATGGAGCTGGAGCTGGAGGGGGTCTGTTCTCTCCCGGCTCCCAGATCCTGATTCCAGACCTTTCCAGTTCTCCTTGCAATGGAAAGCCAGGGGCTGTTCTGAACAAGGAAATGCTTAGAATAACTGAAGAAATACATACAATGAGATCCTAAGTTTGAAAGCACACACATTACACTCATATATATATACACGGAAAAAATACTAGAAGAGAATATACCAAATTGTTAGTAGTAGCCATCTCTGGATAGTGAGAAGATACATGATTTGGATTTGATTTTACACTTTTCAAAGCATCTGATTGCTCTCTTAGCTAACTTCCACCCCACCCCACTCCACCCACTTCAGGGAGGTAACGTGACACCCCCCTTCCCCCAGGAAGAGCTGCTGTTGCCCGCAGCCCTCTGGGTGCTCACGGCTAACAGGAAACTCTCTGGTTGCCCCTGAACTCCGCTCCCACCAACTGCATCTGTGTTTCACAAGGGTCAATTGTTGTTCATGCCGCAGCCAGTTTATTTAAGTAGTATGTGATATTAGAATAGATAACAGATAATTTATTTAAGCACAACATTAATGAAATGTGACTATGTAAAGGAAAAGCTGTTTCCATGAAAACTAAGTTGAACGCTTTGAAGGACTCAATTTGAACTGGAAAAAAAATACTATTGGTAACACAAATGTAAAAGATTAGGGAAGAAGAGCATAAAAATCTGGAAAGATTTTGTATGTAAACTGCTTCATAAGGTCTTCATCCACTTTAAGGAAACCGAAGTGTGAAACTGTAGGTGAAACTTTAAAGGCATCGTTTTTGCAAGAAAAACGAGGCGGATCTGAAGTCAGTGGATGTCCTCTCAGAGATAAGGTCTAGCCTTCCTCCAAAAATCTGCTGAATAAATGTACCCTCATATATTTGACTTAAAATAAAATATTAAACATTATTATGATTCCCACTTTACTTTCTCCTTTTTTCTTTTTAATCAACCCATCTCTACAGAACTGGTATTCTGAATTTTTATAATCAGGAGAAAGAAAAAATTCAAGACATAAATCTTTAAAGTTATCCTCACCTTCCAGTTCATGTTGGACCAACTAGGAATTCACTCCTGATCAACACAGGCCACTCAGACAAGCATAGGAGGAGAGAGAGCTGGAGAGTCAGGTCTCACCGCCCTGGTGGGGAGAAGAAACAGGCTGATGTGGGTTTTCTAGAGCAGACCACCTTAGGAAAGCTTCTCTTTGATGGAGAGAGAGGATGCGTGCAAGACTGTAGAGAGGAGGGTTAAGAGTCCCCACAAGGTGACCCAGGGCCGGGCGGAAAGCACAAGGCCTGGGTGAGGGCTGAGAAGCCTTGGCTCTTGTTTAACAAAGAGCTCCTGGGCCACTCTGCACCGGGGAAGGGAGCACAGCCCCAAGCAGAGGTGACAGCGCAGCTCACAAGGCGACATGGACATAGGAACCCGGGTCCAAAGTCTGTTCCTCCTGCCCTGAACAAGAGCTGGTTTGTGGGTGAGTGTCATTCTATTTCTCAGGCCCTCCAAGTATGAGTTAAGCTAAGCTTAGTTTTGAAAAAATGTCTGGAGGGAAAGAAATAAATGATAGGGGGAAAAATTGTCCTCAGAAAGCCTTTCATATCTGGCATTCCCTCTAAAACGTGAGGGAGACCTAGGGGAAGGGGAGGCAGAAAGTGACAAGGCAGGGCGGAGCTCAGGATGTGCTCTGAGGCTTCACATGTCACTATTTTTAGATATGACACATACCCCAAGAGTCAGAAGACTTGAGCTCTGGATGAGGAACCTACACACTCTGGTAAGTGACTTCCCTCTTGGGGCCTCGGTCCCATCTGCAAATGAATAAAGGGGGTGTCAACTAGACAGGCCCGACTTTTTCTGCAGTTTGGCAACTTACAGCATCATGATCACAGCTTCACTTTATCGTGCCCGGCTGTGCTGAAGTGCACTGCATGCGTTAGCTCAGCTAGTCTTCACACCAGCCCCACGAAGTGTAGTTCACTGTCTGCACTTCAGACACAAGGAAACAAGTGACATGTCCAGAGTCACACGGATGAAGGGGCGGTGGGGAGGGGGGCACAGACTGGGATTTGAACCCATCCAGTCTCTGGCTCCAGAGTCTTCTAATGCAGGCAGACAGCTCTGCACCCCAAAATCACAGGGATGCTCTTCTTTAAATGTACTTACAATTAGAATTAAGAAAAGCAGCACAAAATTTCACAGGCCTTTAGAATGGGGATAATGAGATAAACTTTAGGGACGATTTTTTTTTTAAACTTTCACTTACAAAAGCATCTAAATATAAAAAGTTCAGGCCTTATCTATTCAAGGTCATTGTGTCTTGAAAACAAGCTGACAGCTGGCACTAGATAGCCAAGTTCTCCCCGTGACTTTTTCAAAGTCAGATAAGCTAACGACAGGAATTTACACCATAAATGTGTTTAAATGTGATGACCGTGACCTTCATACATAAATGGACTATTTGTCTTTAAGAGCTGCAGATTCTGACCTGCACTGGAGAGATATGTTCCTAACAGGTTACTGCTGAATTTTCACTTTCAATGATCTCTACTAATCGCAGGAATTAGCCACGTTGTAAATTAAAATGTTTAAGTTTGCGTAAATTTTATTTTTACAACTCCTGCTGTTGTTGAGTTGTATACAAATATAAGCAGACAAGTTTGGCTGTTCCCCACACGTTTTCTAAAACCAAATTATATACCAAGTGAATTAAAGTAGTAAGATATTAATTCCCAAGGTCAAGGACCACAAACAGGTCCAAAAAGCTTATAGGAAGAAATAAACTAAAAGGAATGCCACCCACTTACAGCTCCAGGCCGTGGAGGATCCTGCTCCCGGCCGGCACACAAACTATGTTTACTAGTGGTGTCACCTTGGACAAGTTCCTTGGCCTCTCTAAGCCTCAGCTCTCTCATCTGTAAATTCTCCTTCAGAGATTGGACTGGAAACACTAAGCACCATGCTCAGCACACAGACAGCACTAAACAAATATCAATCATGATTATTATGATAAATCTCTCTCTTTCCACAGATGGACATGTCAAACTGAAGATCATAAGCCTGCAGCATCCAAGGCAAAACGCCGCCATCACAAGACAGCAGGGCATGATATAAAGAACCAGCACTGGACAACCAGGAGAACTGGCCATCTGGACTCTATTCTTGGTGGCACCAGTGGCAGGGCATGTGACCTGGGGCAAGTTATTAGCCTCTCTAAACCAAAGTGTTACCATTTTTAAAACCAGAATCCAAAGAGCAACGCTGCAACTCTAAAATTCCTAAGTCACCATTCTCTTTGATATCATGACATCTGACTGTAAAAATATACTGGCAGCTGCCTCCACTTCACATCCAGAGTTATAAAATTCAATCTCTTTAGGACAGAAATAAATTTAAAGTCAATCTGCAAAGTAGTGTAAGGAGTGCATTGAGGGTGGGAGACCAGAGGGCAAATCAATCAAGCTCATTCCCACCCACTGTCTCCAAATTATAACTTTTCCTCCATTTCCCTTAAATTACATGCTCCAACTTAGCCATTTTTGTAGCACCCTGCAGGACTTGAGCAAACGAGGACAACTGAGAAAGCTAAATATATCAGCAGGCTATTTGCTCTGCTGCCATCTGTACACCTGATGCGATGTTAGAACCAGGAGGCAGCTGGTGTCTGAGGGTTGAACTGCAAAAGCCAACTATATGCCGACAATTTTAAGAGGCATAAAATCTATCAAGTGCAGGAAGTTTTAAACTTCCCCTGGAACTATCCGCAGTCTTAGCTTAAAACTCAAAATAACAATGGCTTACATAGATGTAGTTCTATTTCCTTTACTGCAAAAATATTCTGATTTTTCCTTTGCTACCTTTCTCCTAAAAAACAGAAAAGCTATTGGCTTATTTTGATTAAGCCAATTAAAGCAACATGGACGATGTATAGTCCACAATCTACATTTCCTTCTTGGCACACCTAACAAACCCAAGGCTCGGTCTGTCTCTTGGTGTCTACGCTCATTCCAGCCACTAATTAGGCTGCGTCCTTAGGCTGAACTTTCAGAAGCTGTTCTCAATCCCAGTCTCTACCCTTTTCACCCCAACCCTTTCCCCAGTCCTTTGAGGTAGCGGTAGGTGCAGGAGGAGGGGGTTCCAGATGAACCTTGGGTATCACTTGGCCGACCTCTGGGCCCCACGCCCGGGTCTACCGGGGTTCCCAGGGCGAGGGGCTGGGTCTCAGTTCCTCCGTAACCAGAGAGCCAGGCCAGGGTCCTCTCCAGCCCCGACACTTGGGGAGCAACACCTGCCCCGCTCAGACCCGAGAATGAGGGCCAAGGGCGACAATCGCTTTCCCTACCATTCTGCAAATCCGGGCGTCCAGAGCTTTCGCTCGCCCCCAAATCTCTCTGGCCGGAACCGACTCGGGACCGCGCTCGCCCTGCCTGCTAGCCTAAACACGCCGCCCCCGGGCGCCTGGTCCGCAGAATCGCGGCGCCTGGACAACCGAGGCAGGTAGGGGCGCCCGGGCGTGGTGGTGGGGACGGGGGGAGAATGGAGGTTGTCACTCTGCCGGTCCCCGGTGGAGGGCGTCCTGAAGAAAAAGAGCGAAAGCGGGGCCTGTCATACAACTTCCCAACTCCCCAGAGCCCCAAAGAGCAGCGGGGCCTCGGCTCACGATCCCGTTGACACGGACGCCACCCACTTACAACTCCAGGCCGCGAAGGATCCTGCTTCCGGCCGGCACACAAACCACGGCTCCCACAATGCCGCGGGGAAACTACACGTCCCGGCATGCACCGCTCCGCGCGCCGGCGCAGTGGGCCCGGGCTGTCTCGCTGCGCGCGCCGCTCCATGCGGCCGCGCTGTGGGTGGAGGAGCCCTTTGTGGCACCGTGAATGGGGTCACAGGATGGAGTTACCCGGGCTTGGGGCGAGCTGGCTGGGAATAGGCCGGGCGCTTTCTTCTAGGCCTGGGGCACGTTCTCATTCTGACCTTACCTGAGCTGGAGGAGGACGGCGGCCGGAGGGGCGGGCCTCCTCCGCTTCAGCTGCCTCGCGCTCCCTGGGTGCTCCTGGCTGTGTGCGACTGAGGCCACGTGGGTCCCCAGAAGTTTCCAAATTTAGTGTTTATCTTCTCTGCCAGAAATGCATGCATTTTCCTTTGGTATAGCGGTAGGGTGCCTGGTACAAAGTTCCCAGATTCTTTCACCCAGCACACGCTTAGTAAACTGGAGCGGAGTTTGAACACAGTCAGTCCTTGCCCCACGGGAGGGCGCAAACTGGACACCCAAATTCAATGGTAACGAGAAGGAAGTTCACGGACTTCTTACTAGGCTCACCCTTCTCAGCATGAGTAAACTGAGGCAAGAGGAGATTAAGTGGCCGGCAGAAGAAAACGAGTTGCGAATTGGAGCGACATGTTCGAGGTTTGAACCCAGGCAGTCTAACTCCAAATCCCATTGTGACATCTTGGTGGTGATGAAATTCAGAATGTTAGGGAGCGCAGAGGAAAGGACAAACAGGGATTGGTGGGCGGTGTTGTGAAGCTGGGTGGTTAGTTCTGTCAACAAGTGACGTTTCCCTGGAGAAAGTAACAAAAATAGCTTTGTTTTAAGCACTTTAAGGCTGTTGTCTAACTGAAGTCTCCTAATAAGCCTAGAAAGGACCTGAGGGGGCTGTAACCATTTCACAGATGAGGAAATGGAGGCACAAACAGGTTAATTTGTCCAGTGTTTTAAAGCCCCAAGTGCCAGAGCTGGGACCTGACTCGTAATCTGGATCTAGACTCTAGCAGGGCATACACTAGCACATGTTCCTTTTCAAATCGCTCCTGAGCTGTGCTGTAAGAAGTAAGGGGGACTCAGATCACAGAGAGCCAGTAGATCAAGCAGAAGAAACTCCAAAAGCAAATGGGGTAGAAAAGGAAACCAGCAAGTTGTTTGAGTTGGAATTTTTAGTTGCCAGGTTGAAAGTAGCAGGCTTGGGTTTGGTGGGAATTGATGCTGGAGTGACAAACTGGAGCAAGTAGCAGTAACTGCAGACCTGAAATGCTCATAAACATTGGCCATTTCTCCCATTACCCAAAAGTAAAGTGGGCTGATAATCATCTATGTTGGCTATATATACTTTAAGTGATGTTAATAAACATACTTAATTAGGAAAACCTTGATTTTTCCCCTTTAATTTGTTTTCCTATGTCAAAGATAAACAAAGCCGGACACCAGCTAAAGTGTTAAGGGTAGACCTTATTTAGTAACTATCACAACAGGGAAGAGTCCAGCATGAACTGAACTCAACTTTGATTTGTGCAGAGGTAACTGGGCATTTAAAAAAGGAGAATGAGGGAGAATGAGGGGTGCAGGCACTTGAGCCGAGTCAGGGAAGTGGAAATTTCCAAAAAGCAGAAAGGATTGGTCAACTTGATCTGGGTTTGTTAATAGACACTTATCTGGAGGAGAAACGAACTTCTATCTTTATGACTGGAGGCAGTGGTGCAAGTTAGAACAAAGTGCCCACCAGGTGGGAGGGCTACCTCCTTGAACATTGGTATTTCAAAGAGACAAGACAGTTCTGGGTGGTAAGAGATTAACAGCTCAAAGCTGGAGAGAAAGGATTTATAATTATAAGATTTCTAAAGGAACTAACTGCTCTAGGAGAGATTCAGGGGGCTGATTGGTCTCTCATCAGATTTTGGCTGGAACAAACAGTAAATTCTCCTGGCAGCTCGTTGATTTTCCTAAGGCAGGCACTTTAAAGGGGGCTAGAGTCCTCATAGGGAAGCAGCCTAGAGCTGTTAGAAACTATGGTAGTGTTTGCTCAGCCTCTTAGTGTGGGGAGGTGGATGATACCTTTTGTGCCAAGAATCTGCTGTGTTTATAGGCCAGGGTTGAGGTCTAGTTGAGAAAAAGGCTCAGAGGAGCCCAACCAGAGTTTGATCAAAGAGAGAGTCTTTGTCAGCTGGTAGAAACCTTGGATTCCTCTCTGGATCCAGACCCAAGGCTGTGATTTTATAGCCTGGGTTGCTGCTTTGGCCGCACTGGTTGAAATGTCCTGTGTGGTACAGCATTTCTGGGGTTCTGATCTCAGGAGGGAAGCCCCTCTTGCCATTTCTGCTCTTGGAATGTGAATGACTTTCCCTAACACTGTATTCACTGCTTCTGTTTGCATAATTGGATATTTGTTGTTAGGAAACAGATACCCGATATAGACCTCACCCTAAGAGACAAAATAATCCATAAAAGGCATTGAAGAAGGGCTCCGTCACTGAGTTTTGTCTTAGTGCCCTGAGACTCGAGGTTCTGCTCATAATCACTCTGTCTTGGTTGAGTAGATGGGGGTGGAGAGTGTGAGTGAGGACGCACGAAGCTTCATGAAGCTGCAGCCCATACATCTGTCTTGACATTGACTTTCTACAATCAGCTACTCTGAAAGAGTAGACCTTAACCCGAGTTAGGGCTGTCCTCTGTCCTGCTCTAGCTACGCCACTTTGTGTTGGTATCGCCATGTTATTTCCACGTCTGACTCCCTCTCTACTGAGTTCCAAAAGCTAAGGGAGTCACACTCATCTCTGTACTCCTGGGGTCTAGGTCAGCAACCCAAGTAGACAGATATTAAATGCTGTTTGATTGAATTAACGAATGATGTCACCAAACCTGTGGACTGGAGATTCCCATCTGTAAATGAAATGGTCTGACAAGACTACAGTGATCAGCCAGCTGCCTTCCAGCCCCAACATCCTGTGATATCATGACCCCCAAGGTTCAAAGTATTAAGCCGCTGCTGTCTGGCTCTTCAGCAGACATCAGCAATTCACACACTTTCATACATTAGTGCAAATAAGTCTCTTGAAACTTAAGTGAAAAGAAGTAATTGTAAATAGAGAAAATAAATTGAGTGAAAAGAGTGCGTTGTTTATAAAGCAATGTTATAACATTTTATAATTTTTTTATAATAAGAAGTTTTAAAGGTTAGTTTTCTGTAAAAATTTTAAATGTTAATTAAACAATGTTTCTGTCGCTTCAGGTAGTTTTTAAAGATTCTACTCCTCTGATGCGGACTCTGCCCCTGTGAAATGTTTGTTCTGTCCACGGACTTCCAAATAAGCTCAGTGGTTCTGTTCATTCATCATTTCAAACTCTGCATTCATGAATTAATAAATAAATGCTTCTCTGTCAGTCCAGTGAGCAGGTGATAGATTTTGGGACCTCAGCGTCTGGGTAAAACACCTGAATTATTTATAAATTGAATTAGTCACATACAAAATAATATTTCATGAGAAAGAAGATGCTGTGATTTGTTGATCTCTCCTTTCTGTCCCCACTGCCACTGCCCAGGCACTTTACTTCAAATTTGGCCTTATTTTCACTATTGACATTGATTGAAATGGCATTTGCATTGCCCAGAAAGTAAAAGAAATCTTCAGCATAAAGTGTTGCTCCAATAAACAAGCATAAATCACCGAGATCGAAATGCCATCTGTCTCAGTTGACCAACCACGTGATTGCCATGAAAGTTCTCAACAGAGAGCGAGGAACTGAGTGTCATCTCAGCATGACAACTTGGATGTGCTCCATGGCACGGACCTCTCTTCATATTCACATGTCAGACGATGGCTCTGTGTCTCTCGCGCTTATCAAGGCGACATTATGAGTCCCGCTGCACCAGTGCTTTCGGGGATGCTGGCCTTGGATTCTTCCAGATTCAAGATCTGACTCTTGTACTTCTCCTGCCAGTCCTCCACAATGTACTGGTGGTAGGGGTCGTTGGAGTGTTCTCGTCTCTTGGATTTCACCGTGCTCACCAGGATGGCTACGATGATGAAAGAGAACATCCCAATCATCACCATGAGGTACAAGATGACGTAATAGAAGTTCTCGGCATCAACTTTGGCCTGCAGAGCCTCTTGCTCAACTGTCGTGTTTCTGCGCCAATTGTCCATGTAAGTAATAAAAACCCTCTTGAACGCATCTTCCAGTGTCTGTGTCAGATTGGAAAGAGTAGGCATATTTCCCTCCTGCTGCAATTTAAATAATAAAATAGATGAACAGGTTTAAGAAAACGGATTCTTTCTGCACTCGGCTACCTTAAGGAAAGGAGGGAGGGGAGTGCAAGGGGGGAAAGAAATATTATTATTATTCTTTTATCTGGCTGGTGATTGAGTAAATATTTTGTTATTCTTAAAATGTTGCATATGCATTTTATGCAGTTTAAAAATATTTATTTGTTTATTTGTTTTTTGGGGGGAAGTAATTAGGTTTTTTAAAAATTAATTAATTAATTTTTAATGGAGGTACTGAACTGAATGGAGTATTGAACTCAGGACCTACTGCATGCTAAGCATACACGCTGCCACTGAGCTATGCCCTCCCGCCTCATTTTATGCATTTTTTGCATGCATGATATCTTACAATAAAAGTTTAACGGAGCACATAACACTATACATAGTATGATCCCAATTTGTATATGTAAATAAATGTATACATGCAGATGAAAAAAGACTGAAAATAAAGCGTTTACAGTGTTAATAGTGTGTGGTATATTCAAAATTTTTCTTCCTTATGTTTTTCTTATGTTCAAAATTTTCATCAGTAATCTTCCGTTCATTACTTTGTTCCTGAATAGATCAGTCACAACAGCCAGCATGATGCCTTGTTCATAACAGATAGTCAACAGACATCAGTTGAAAGATGTAATGACTGATGTACGTTCTGTGTTTTTAGAGAATTACAGGGCAGAAGATTGCAAGGGACACTGACAGACTGCAATCGGCCCCACCTCCTATGCCTAGACAGTGCCTTTTCCTGAGGAGATGAGTGTGTACATCCATACTTGAAAGAAGTACTTTAGGGAAGTGATACAAAGGAACAACCTGAGAGATCATTCATCAGCTCCCACTCGCAGTGCCATCCTCACTCTCACTGCCCGGCCACCAGCAACTGTCACCTGGGTGATACAATGCAATGCACTACAACCTTCCCCAAAACCAGCTCCCTGGGCTGCATCTGCCCCTCTCTGCCCTGCACGGCCGTCAATTTGCTCTTTCTAAGAGGGAAATGGGAGCCTATCATTCCGGTGTTTTTTAAATAATGCAGTCCCTTCCTGTTGTTCTCAAGAGAAAATCCTCATTCCCTAATGGGTGTACGTGGCCTGGCCCTGGCTGGCCTGCACCACCTCCCCACTCATTCTACCCTCATGCCACCTGGTCTTCCCCCAAGGCAGTAAGCGTTCCCCCTGCCTCAGGACATTTGCACATCCCAGTCCCTCTGCCTGGAATACTTCTGCCTGCTCTTCCCTCTGCTACCTCCTCACCCTTTTGGGCCAGCTTAACTGTCACTTCTGAGAAAACTTCCCTGGCCCTGCTCCCAGTCAGTCCCCCCCACCCATACCACCACTTTTCTCCAATAGCGTCTTACTACTTTTCTTCAAAGCTCTCTTTACAATATGTAGTAGTTATGTATATACACTGCTGGTGTGAGTGTTTGTGTATCTGTGTGTGTGTGTGATTATTGGCGTATCTTTCCCCATCAACCGTCATGTCTATGAGGGCAGGGCTCGTGTGACCTTTGTCTATCTTGGTACAGCCAATACTGGCACAGAGCCTGGCCCCTAGTAGGTGCACAATGGATGTTTGGTGAATAACTGACTGTGCTGGGCACACGCTGGGCACTGGAAATGAAGCGATGACAAGTTTGAGACTTCTGTCTGAGGAAGCTCCATGTAGTGGGAGAGACACAGACAGTGCGAGGCGCAGAGTGGGTAAGAGGTGTGAACAGAGGGATACGGAGCTCCGAGAATGGAGCTGAGCAGGACTCGTAAATGGGGCAAATTCAGGGAAACAGAACCAGGGAGATGGAGCAGGAAGTAAGCCTGCAGGGCCACCCAGTCAACAACATTGGCTTTACCTAACAGCCTTCTAAGTCAGTGCCCCCTGAAGCAAAAAAAAAAAAAAAAAAAAACCCAGGTCTTTCCTCCCGCAGAACATGCCTTCCGTTCATTTCACTCATTGAGAATTCTTGTGCCTATAATGCAGGTTTCTCAATCTGATGTTTTTCTTTTTTTCTTTTTGGTAGGGAGGAGGCAATTAGGTTTATTATTTGTTTATTTTAATGGAGGGACTGGAGATTGAACCCAGGGCCTCATGCATGCTAAGCACGTGCTCTACCCCTGAGCTATACCCTCCCCTCCCCTTCTGATCTGATGTTTTAATTTCTATTATTTGAAAAGCCCTTGGGTCCTCCTCTCCCTCTCTCCTCCACGCAAAGCCTGGTGGGTTGAAAAGAAACAACAAACAGGTAAGATTCCCCAGGGGCACGTCACGCAGGGTTTACAAGCAATGTGACAGAGGCGTGCTTCTCCCCTTAAACAACACAGTGGACTGTGAGCGAGTGCGGCTAACCAGGCTGTCATCCTACTCAAGACTTCACCACTGGCTCCTTAATCCTTAAAGAGCCAAGGTCTCCTCTTTCGGGGGGATTTCACACTTACTTCATGAATCAGAAGGCACCCCCCACCCCGTAGCGCCAGGTCAGGGCTAGCCTGACACATGTGACGGGGCGGGATTACTTCACCTACGAGCGTTCTCACCCTCTTGTTTCTTCCAACCCTTCTCCACGTCTTCATCGTATAAAAAAAAAAACCTGTGATTTGCCCAGCTTATACACCCTCTGTGGCCCCTCCAGAGAGAATTCCGTTTCCTTTTGTGAAGCCAAATTGAAAAATGGGTAAAATATAGAGACAACTTAAAAAACAGAACAAAACAAACAAACAACCCTAGAAGAGCTAAGTTTACGAAATAAAGGGCTGGCGGGTGCCGAGGGGAATTTGGTATAGCGGAGGGTCCCGAGCGTGTGGGGTAGGAGGAAACTGAGAAAGGGAAGAAGAGGACCCTTCTGGGCAGAAAATTAGATCCCCTGTAGTGGTCTTTTGGTCAAAACGGAAACTATTCTGGTTATTTTTGCACCCTGGACAGCACTTCTTTGACACATCTCCAGATCGGTAAGCACTGGGCCACACGGGGCCGGCCTGGGACCTGGGTGCCCCCAGAGAGGTGATGGATTGCAAGCTCCTAAGTGCTTTGAGCTCCTCTGCCCACTCACCTCCCATATATCTCGTTCGTGGGCTGTGCCAACTGTGCTCGGAATTGCAATGACCCTTCTGAGTGGAGGCAGTAAAGGCCCAGAGTTACACGGGAAGGCCCGTAGGATGGGCCACGCACACTGCCAACATCGCTCTGTGAACGTTTTCATCAAAGCAACACCTTAGTTTTTCACCACCTGCGAAAACCCTGGGCCAGTGCCTGGCTGATGAGAAGTGCTCAATTGTTAGTCCCCCGTCCCTTCAGGGCTCTGAGAGAACAGGGGGGATGTAGGAGAGGTAAGTTTGATGCCATCCAGGATGCAGAGCCTCAAGGGAAGCCTCGGTCGTCCACAGCTGAAATGAGGATGGGAACCCGAAGTAAGTATTGGGGGGCGAGGAGGGAGAGGAGAGAGAGAGGAGGGAGCCCCGGTCTTCTACATGGTTTCCCTGTGTTGCTCTGCAGAAGAAGGAAATACAGCTCTACAGGAGAAGGGAGCTGGGTACCTCCAGGCCTACCCGTGAAAAAGGTAGTATGTTCTTGCAGTTTCAAAAACCCAGGTCAGTGGTCACCCCATCCACAAGTGTCTCCCTGGCCTCTCAGTCTGGGTTGGAGACCCCGCTTCTGTGCTGCTTCTGCAAACTGCCACGTTTGTTCATTTGCTTGTTTCCAGTTGCCCGTTTGCTGTGTGCTATTCATGGGATACTCAAAACCACTCTAAAATGTGGGTTATTACCTCCATTTTACAAACGAGGGAACTGATACTTAGCGAGTGAATCATTTGATTCCAAACGACCTGAGCTCTGAGCTGCGGGAGGGCAGGGGTTGATTCATTCACCCTCCAGCACCGTGGTTGGTGCAGAGCAGACCATGATTACACGTTTGGTGAATGAATGAACGCTCCTCTCCTGTGTTCTGCAGAATTCAACTGGAAACCACTGCAACAGTGATTCTCAACTTGTTTGCAGGGAGGGGAGGGTTCCAAGATCCCTTGAAAAATAAAATAAAACAATTTGATTTTTTTTTCCCCAGAAAAGTTTACCTATGCACATATGAAGTTCTGCATTCACTTTCAGGGGACTCCTGGGCCCCCTAAAGCCCAACCAGAAATCTCTGCCAAAAACAGCTTTAAGACAAGAGACTTCGGTGCTGGGTCCCCCTGGAGTGGGGTTTGTTTCCAGGTGTGGGCGAGGCAGCATCCGTCCACCTGTTGGAGCTAACACTGCCGAATGTTTGTCCAGCTCTTCTAGTGTGGACAGAGGCGCACTGCTGAGCAGATCAGGAGGTGCTTTTTGATAAGACTTAATCACAAAGCTGGAAAGGGCCTATGGAGATTAAATGCCTAAGTGCTGACCCTTGGCCAGGATGAAAAAGTCAAGTCCCAGGAGGAGTCACTATTCGGACACTGTTGCTTGAGACACGGGCAAAAACCAAACCCCAGTGCATGAGAGCTGTTTCACTGATGGCCATGCTACTAAATCGCTTTCAAACAGATCTACATTTCTGATACCCCGAATAACTATTTAACAGAGAGACACTGACCATATTTGGCATAAATGCTCACCCCTCCTCTAAGCAGAATACCTACCAGGCACTCACTTCAGTGCTGTGAAGGCAACTATTACATAATGCTCTATTGAACTATATGAAGTTGCCAGTTTTAGAAGCTAAAAAGGGTCAAATTTGGCAATTTCATACATAGTTCAAACTAATACATGTGAACCTGCTTTTTTCAGGCATTTTGAAATAGATGGTTCTTGCTCAGTCAAATAACCAGATGGGCCCCTAGAGGTGATTTGGGCTGGTCTGCTGCTTTGGCAGGTGGCATAACTGCAGCTCAGAGAGCCTAAATCACCTGTCCACGGTCACAGTGCTGAGACTAGAAACCCAAGCCCCCGAGGCTGGCACCCGGCACCCGTTCTGTCCTAGCAGAAGCCCCAAATTCCGGTAATTCCCTGTTTCCGTCACCTGTAGCTGGTCAGCTCAGTGGGCAAAACAAAAGAGACCAAGACCATGGCTGGAGCTGATGCATATCAATTAGTTGTGTCTGATCTTCAGGACACGTAATGATCACCTAATTCCAGCTGCACCTGTCACAAATGTGCGTAATTCACGACCAGGACAATCTGACGCTGAAGAAAGTAACGTGCACTTGATCCCCCAAATCCAGAGTTCACTTTTCTTGAAAGGTTGTGGATCATTAGCACCACCTGGACTTGCAAAAGGCAACAGAGTCTGTCAGTTTTACAACAAGAGTAGAAAAAGATGGCTATCTGCACTAATCCTGAAACTCCCATTAAAAAAAAAACTTTCAAAAGTTTTATCCAAAGGCGATTACTAAAGAAACAAGTACGGAAAACACTACAAAAAAGAGGGAGCAGGAAGAAGGGGAGAAGGAAAATGAGGGAAGAGGGAGAAGGAGAAGAAAGAGAGAAAGTCTGCAAACGAGGAAGCAAGGAAGGAAGTGTCAGGTCTTATACCAGGAAAACCATTTCTTTCATAATTTTCTGGGGGAAAAAACAGCTTTGTTACTTAATTCCTCAAAAAAAAGAAAAATGAGCGATGGAAACTTACCTGCGCAGTGCGGTGCATGAGCGGAATTGCTCTCTGTAAAGCCCGGCAGCCCTGCAGGGTCTCCCTGGTGCTGGCGGGCTCCCGGGATGGTGCCAAACCCTCGGGCTGCTGGGCAGCTTCAGCCTGCAGCCAGCTGAGCCCCCGCTCATCCCCGTCTGCAATCCTAGGCTTTTACCAACCCAAATATTTAATCTAATCTTAAGTGGAAAGTTAAATACTGACCGGCAGCTGGGAATTAACCTTGGTGCCAAGGGGGTGTGCCTGCGGGGAGTCCAGCATTGGGCAGGGGCCTTACAAGTTCCCTCTCCAGGCTTCGTGATGCCAGCTCCAGCCAGGGCAGTGCCGGGCACAGTTTGCCACCCTCCCAGGATGAGTCTCAGAGGGCAGCTTATTCCCTGCAGACCTTGTGGGGAAGGGAAGTGTCCCAAAGAGCTGAGATGATCGTAGCCATCTCTGAGTGGTCGGCGTGGGTTGAGGACAAAGCCCTATGACTGGAGACAAGTACCCTTATTCGGAGCACCTCCTCATAAGCCAACATTTCATTTAAATACCCCTGTATGGGACAATCTCCAAATGACTTAGAACAATACTGTTGTCTTGTAGAACAGAGACTGGCCACAGAAAGGTGCTAAACAGAGGATTTGAAAGCGAGCCCACAAAGTCAGCCAAAACCTCAAAAAAGCGGAACAAACTCTTCTCACCAAAAGAGCCTTTTCTATCAGAATGAGAGTCCTAGGAACTGGGCGGAGTGGGGCTTCATAAGGGCTAACACTTTTTGGGTTCTCACCAGTGCCAGGTTCTTCTCAAATGCTTTCATTGCATCAGCATCATGTCACTGGTGCCACGACCCAGTGCAGAAGGAACTACCAACTTTACCGCTGAGCGGCCCCGGCACAGAGAGGTCAAGAGGACAGAGCGACACAGGCGCAGAGCCAGGATTGGAGTCCCGTCCTGAGAGGCAGCTCCACCAGAAGCTGGACATCACTCTGACCAACGTACTCATGTGAAGGAACGTTAACTTTGTTTCACAATTGGATTTTCTCATTAAATGGTGCTCTGAACAAGGCAGTTTGAAGCAGACTGGGTGGCAGGGGGAAGATGGCTGGGATTTAAAACTCCTTACAAAGTGTTGACTGAAATAAAACCACACAACGTGAGAGTTGTGGGTTGTTTTATTTGGGGCCAAATGAGGACTGTAGCCAGGGAGCCAGCATCTCAGATAGCTCTGAGGAACAGCTCTGAAGAGGCAGGGGGAAAGCTCAGTATTATATATGTTATCAGTGAAGGGGGGACGTGCAGCCAAGCACACGTTCAGGCAGAGGCTGCTGCTAGTCACGAGGAGCAGACGTCACCGTTAATGATCCTAGTGCTTTTCTAGATATGAGGAGACACAGAAACTGGGGTCATCAAATCTCCTGAAAACATCTAACTATCTGATGGTCTGTTCACCCAGTTCTCCCAGAGCACAGAGCGCCTCGCTCCTGACCTCCATCCTGAACTCCTTTCAGGGAGCGTTGAAGGTCAGCGGCTGCAGCGACACGTGAGCTAATCCAAGCAGAGTTAGATGGCCAGTGCCAACGCGATCCAATCCTTGCAGAGGCAGATGGCAAGTGCCAGGTTTTAGCTAGCAAAAGTATCATACTTAACACATTAGATGTGATCTGCAGAAACACGGGGATCTCTAAAACTCCGCACCAGCTTCTCATGACACTGTTTGTCCTCACAAATTGCCTTCACTGAACGAGATAAGGCAAACCCGACTGGAAAGGAGCGGTTTGACAGTCCAGTTGGGCTGGAAGTGCAGGGCTCCCTGGGCAATTCCACTGGGGTGACTGCGCCACCTGCTGGTAGACAGAAGGAACAGAGGCCAATCGGCTCTGTAAGCAGCCCTGGCCATGCAATCTCACGTGTTGAATTCTCCTAGTGCAAAGATTAAGAAGAACCAAAACAGTGTGCAAGTCTACACTTTGGGGATTAGGACAGGACCAGAAGGCAATAGATCCTGGTGGCTAAGAGCTTGGCTCTGGAGGCTGACAAACCAGCAAATTACACAGGGTTCCTGATCGGTGGATTCCTCATCTGTAAGATGGAGAGCAAGAGAGATCCTGCCTCATTGGGTTGTTGCAAAAATTAGATGAGATAATGGATGTAAAGCACTTGATATAGAACCTGGTATTTGGCAAGAGCGTAAATGCCCTACACGCATTAGCTTTTGCCATTATTTTTAAGAGAAATAAACAAGAGGACAAGGCAGTGAGAAACAGACCTTGACCAGCCTCACCAAGGAAAAGAACATTCTAGCACCTGGTGAAGAGTAGCTCCTTCATGGTTTATTTTTACATAGCTTTTCCCCATGCCTCGGTACACAGTTCATACGACTGGGATGAGACGGGGACCTGACAAAGTAGATGCAGAAGCAGAGGGCCAGTGTGACCCAGGTGTCCCTTAAAGCCTGGAGAAGACAGCGGAAGGGGGACAGAGCTGTCCCCTGTTTGCTCCCAATGGGCATCAGCGCCCTTGACCTCTGCAGAAAGCTCTCAGTAGATTCCCTCTGCCCCGTCCCCAACAGGAGAGTAAAATTCTATCTGCCCAGAAAGCAAGTTATGTAAAAGCAAATGTCTTTTTTCAAAGTCCGGCCTCAGCCCATGTCCTTACAGAGCTCCTGTGCCTACGTATGACATGTTTTTGTAAATCTAGTGAGTGGAGTCTGCTTTTGGACTTAAAATTGAGTGTTATTCAGTCTGACAGCCAGCCCTAACAACACCCCCAAATTCCTTCAGAAGAGAGGAGCGCGGAGGACTTTGTTTAGAATCGAATCTGACTTTCATGTGACCTGTACCATTCGTAGGGCACCACATTAGGCTAACAACACTCCTTAAGTAAACAGGACTCTCATTAGGTAGTTGTCTTTGCAAATCCTCAAATCAGTTAGTGCCTCTGCCTCAGTCCTGCACTGACCCTATCCATTGCCCTCCGGTGACTGCAGACAACCCTGCATCCACACCCTCTTCCCTCATCCACACCCTCCCAGTACAGCTACATCACAACTTAGGGTTAAATCCAACCTCAGAGTCTGCATTTCTGCGATGATAGAAACATTATTCTTTGATGACCCACATCATGAACTGTAATAACATCTCTCCTTTACACGTTTTTGTTTTTCTTGGAGTTAATAATTATTTCTTTTTAAAAATATTTTTACTGAGCTGTTCTCAAACCTCTTCCTACACCCCTCGATGACTCAACATCATTAGTCGTTAGGGAAATGAGCTGCCACTACACACTTGCTCGAATGGCTAAATTTTAAAAAGACTGACAACACCAAGTGTTGGTGAGGATGTGGGGTAACCAGAACCTTCATCAGCACTGGTGGGAATTTAAAATGTAAAACAACCACTTGGAAAGAGTTTGGCAGTTTCTTAGTAAGTTACCATAATGGCCTCAACACTTCCACTTCTAGGTATTTACCCAAGATACATGAAACAAGTCTTGCAAAGACTTGCACATGAATGTTCATAGCAGATCCCTCAAATATCTGCTGAGGGATATTTGGGAATAACCCAATGGGCAATGGAATATTGCCCAACAATAGAAAGGAACAAACTCATGATACATGCAACAACATGAGTGAGTCACAAAAACAGTATCTGAGCAGAACATGTTTTACTAAATGAGTCTATTTCCAGAAACTCTAGGAAGGGCAAAAGTAATCCATAGTGATAAAAAACAGACCAGTTGTCTCCTGGGGCCAGGTGAGGGGAAGGTTGAATTCAAAGGGTTGTGGGTGACATAATTGTTCTATATCTTGATTGTGGTGGTGGTTCCCTGGGTGTATACATTTGTCAAAACTCATTGAACTGTACACTTGAAACGGGTATGTGTAACCTGATGGAAACTATACCACAATAAAATTGATATCTTAAAAATCCGTATTTGTAGATTTATGTCTCCAGTCCAATTCGCTCCTCTAAACTTCAGTCTCAAATGTCCAGATGCTTACTTGACATTTCCACGTGTATGTCATTTGGACATCTCAATGTCAGGGGTCCAAGCAGAATGCTCACTTCTCCCACCAGATCTGCTCCTCCCCTGTGATCCATCACAGTCAAGTGGCCCCACCATCTTTCCAGCTCCTTAAGCTAAAAACTAGGACTGAGCTGTGATTCCTTTCTTTTCCTTACCTCCCACATCCAGTCCATTAGCAGATACAGCTGATTGACTCCCACCAAGAAAGACCTCTCCAAGTCTTGAGTGTGGCTGTGTGAGTTTGCACACTGGGTGACATTGCACCCAGCAGAACTATAGCAACCCATCCCAACCTCTCTGGAAGCCATGCCTGGGCTTTTGTGTTGTAAACTAGTGTAATGGCCAGTTGCAGAGAAGAGTTACAATCCATGTTATGAGCCAACCAGATACCTGTTCTCAGAAACTTGCCCTTTTTTGTTGTACTTTTTTATGGTTGCCTTAAGCTGAGTTTTCCCTGTGTCTGCACAGGCAGATCCTTTGAACATGTCCCTTTGTCTGGCAAGCAATAGATCCAGCTTTGATTCTTACTGCTCAGGTGGTTCCTTGTTTTAATTTGACACTTCAAAACACATTTCAACTCAGTCTACTTCTTTCTGAAACATCTTCTTGTGGCTGGACTGGGTCACGGCTTGCCCTCTGCCTTCAGCTTTTCCCTCTTTGTCTTCATTCATTCACTTCGAAGAGCGACCAGAACGACGTTTTAGAAACATAAATCAGAACACGCTATTCCCTTGCTTAAAACTGCCCACTGGTTTCCCATCACCTTCATGGTAAACTCCAGACTCCTTAGTGCAGCCCCCAGACCATAGAGGACCTGGCCTCTGGTCCCCATCCTGAGCTCATCCTTCCCTCACAGCCTGGTCCTGTTTCTCTGCTCCCTGTGTTTCTGTCTTAGCAACTGTACTCATCATTGCTCTAATATAGTATCACAAACTTAGTGCCTTAAAACAGCACAAATTTCCTGTCTTAAAGTTCTGGAGGTCGAAGTCCAAAGTGGGTCTTAACTGGGCTGAACTCAAGGTGTCAGCAGGGCTGATTCCTTCTGGAGACTCTGGGGGAAAACTTGTTTCCTTGTCTTTTCCAGCTTCCAGAGGCTGCCGGCCTTCCTTGGCTCAGGGTCCCTTCCTCGTAGGACTCCAACCTCTGCTTTCATCATCCCACTTTTTACCACT